CGCCGTCGCGGGTTTCTTCAGTTTTTGCGTCCGATGAGGCCCTTCCTGTTTCCCGTTCGATGTAATTTTTATACCACTGTGACCACCATCCTTTTCTCTACAGGCTGACAGGAGCAAAACACCGAATCGCAACTCACGCCGGATGAGCCGTCGTACCCAAGAGCTTCGCCGCCGGTAAGTCTCGATTTTCTAGAAATTTTTGACCCACCAAGGGCCCTAGGGGTGTTTTATCACAGGAACCAATGCAAGTTTGATCGAATTCGACCAAAAACGGCCAACCTGAGGAGGATCGCCGCCGTACCGGAATTTCAAAATTGACCAAAAAGGCCCTGGGTCTGATTTGAGATTTTTTTGGGGACATGTGCAGGTACCGAAAGTGTGTTTCAGTTTCTAGAAAAAAATTCAAGGAATTTAGGGACTGCCCGTAGGTGCAGTGAGAACCCGATTTCAGACTCCAAAACAAGTAAAGATCTCTCACTCTATTTCCTATCACAGCATTAAAGCCTAATAAATGATAAAACGGTATTCTATGAATTAATAGATATGTATAATTGATTAAAGTTGCTAATGGAGCCCGAATATGATATATTTTCGATCAGGTGTTGTTTGATTTATTTTACAGTTTTGAATGCGGTATGGTGCCTGATAAGTTTATTCTATGGTTTCATGTGCATGAATCATGGTTTCATTTATTATGCTTTAAATTATTGTGAACCCGATATTGTGTTGTCTTATTTGATATCTATTACTGATTTACGTGTTTGTATTTGATTGGATAATTGAGATTAAGAAAAATAGTAAAAAGGCACGTGAATTGATAATGGATAATGTCGACACCCTCATTAGATATCCTAGGAGATAGTGGACGGATCGGGTCCCTAGAGAACCCTACCGAAAACGTGGTCTCTCATATCGGACGGGGTATGAAGACCTTATGTGTTTTGGCGCCCATACCGGACGGGGTATGGGGACGACCCGTTTCACCCTCATACCAGACGGGGTATTGAAGTTTATGATTTTGGCGCCCATACCAGAAGGGGTATGGAGAGGGCCCTGGAATTAAGTTATTAATGTGAACGGTTCACGTGTAGCGGGGACCCCCTATGGATCCCCATGGATACTAGTAGACTGATAAAAGAGAAAAATTGTTGTCTGATGATTGAAATACAAAAGTATAATATGTGTTATGTTGCAGAGTGTGCGTGATCTTATGATATTTATGATGTAATTATTTTCATAATTGTTTTCATGAATCTCACCGATGTAGGTGGACAGTAAATGATTTTATTATTGATAAATGAGTTTGTTATAAATTATGCTTCATTGGTCGTTTTCGTTTTCTACTAACTTTTACTTCTGTGACGGTGAGATAGTGTGATGTCTTTACTGGGGTAGTGTAACTCATTCCTTACTTAACCATTTCAGATCAGGAGGATTTGGTTCCCGAGCCTGTTTTGCAGGAGGACGGCGAGTAGAAGCCAAAGAATTTATTAGTTTTCCTTACAGCATTCATTCATAGTATTTCCTTTAAGTTACTTTATTCTTTCATACTTTAAATCGTTTTTGGTTATTATGTAAGGGATGTTAATCATAATCTATTTTATTTCGCTTCCGCACTTAGAATAAATATATATACATTTTCTTTTAATTTCCGAGGCTGTTACATTTATGATCAACACGTTAATTTTAAATAGATATATAAAATAAATATGAGGATATGATTGATAAATTAAATAGAAATAGAAATAGAAACTGAATGATAAGTAAATATAGAAAATAGAAACAAGGTAAATATACAAATAAGAATATATGCACAATAGATTAAGAAAATGACGAGATAAACTAGAGTGATAATCAGAGTTTGTTAGCTCCATCGGTAACTCAAATCAGATTAAACAACATACAGTATAGATTATATTTGAATTCAAATAAGTATCTCTATATATATGCATATATATATATATATATATCTAATTACTTTATTTCATTATTATATATATATATTGTTCAGGCTTCGGTTAACTGTTACGAAGGGAAAGATCAAGGTATCCTTACCCAAATCGGATGGTGGCGGGGTTGTTCCTCATAACCACCGGTTGTGGCGATCTCTTTTTCTCTCAACTTTTACCTATTTCCCCTTATTTCCTCTCACTTTTTCATTGTTAAACAAAAAAATATCACACTATCAGTGTCTAAAGGAAGGGAAGGGAATGGAGGGGGGCGGACAACTTACCAAAATCAAGTCCAACTTATGTGTCTACTCCCTCTCGGTTCACAGCCTTTCTCAGATCAATCTGCATTGAAAGTGGTTAAAAATAATTGAGAATGGAAAAATGGGAAGAAATGGGAGAAAATGAAGCTTTTTGGCGTCGTTTTTTACTTTTGGCACAACAGCACCGTCGTTCATCTAGCGCCTGAGCTCCCTCTAGCACCCTAGCTTCTTCTTCTCCAATTGATATGGCAGTTAGGGTTTTGGGAGGCCGACCGAAAAGAGGTTTAAATACCTCTTCTCCTTCAATATGCATCGTTCATTCGGGTCCACGTGGAGCAATGGGAGCCTTCTGATCAAGTCTATTTAGGGCATCCCACATTTTTATCTCGCGAGTGATCCTAATTGTTAGATCAATTAGCCTTATCAGATCTGAACCGTTGATCGTACGGGTTGTTGGATTGATGTGGGGTTCATCAAAGTCGTTCGTTCAAATTTAAGCGGGTGTGAATATAGACCGTCTAGGCGCGCAGGAGCAACCACGATCCGTTCGTTCCTCCTAGCACGCAAATTGCCAGTGTGGGCTTTTCTCATGGAGTCCTTGTCGATACGACTGTCACACAACATATGACAATTTGTTGCGTTGCTGACTGGGCTTTAACATGACCCATTTTTTTGAAATTATATAGTGATACCTGATCACTCAGATTTATTTCAAATATGCTCATTTTTATCGCATAATGACCCTACTAGAAAATTTTATTTTTCAAAAAGGTCCCCGTAAGAATTTTTATTGATTATTTTATTTTAATCTATTTTTCTTATTAGTTACTATTACTATTATTAATATTAATATATATATAAATTAATCTTTCTTATTTCGAAGTTAATTATTCCCGAGCCAAGAATGTTACAAAAAAAAAAAAAGTGATTTGATTTAGAAGATTTGGCATGATACTTATGAGATTGGATATTGATGAAATTGACATTCAAACATTTATTTTTATAACATATTAATTTGACTTCATAAACGAAGTCCCTATGTTGTCACTAGAACCCCGCATTTCTAATAGAAAATTTCGTAATTGTTCCATAATTATTAAAAAGAAATATTTTTTAACTAAAAAATTTCGGTTCATATGTAATATATCTATCTAAAAGTTTTTCAAATTCAATCATGTACACATAATTATCAAGGATTTAATTTTTTTGAAATTTATCAGTAACCCGCTATGTACTCAAGAAATAAAGAAAAACTATACTTGGTTGTTTTTTTTTATTAATAAAATTCATTAATATTAATTTATTGTTTATGAATAGAATAATTTTAAACGTTGTTTAAGTATATATTCATTGTATATACTACTTTGATCTTAATAATTAATCTTCCACAAAAATATAAAATCATTTAGGTGAATAAAAATAATAAGTTTTAGGTTAATTCCAGTTTAAATACATTAAAAAAAGAAGAATTATAATTAAATAATGTTGAGGCCCAGCTCGAGTTCAGTTCAGCCCGACACATGCTGCACACTTGATGAGCCCAATCAAGATGCTACGCAGTATGGGTCGTGACCCACAGCACCTAACACAGTCAAATAAAAGCCGGCGGTGGAATGTTCAAATTGGGTGAATCAATTACAACGGTCAACAAATAACAGCCTTTTCCATAGTGTTTTTTCTTTTTTTAAAAGATAAAAAGTAACTTTGACTTGTATATAAAATTTAAAGTCAGAAATTACCAGCAGTTTTAATTTAATTTTTTTTAAAAAAATAGTGATTTGAATTATAAATATTATTATATTAGAAATATTGAGCCATTAAAATTTTAAAATAGAAAAAAATTATATCGTTCATTTAAAATATTATTTTTACCGTATCAACTATCTATGCATTAAATTACAATAGGAGGTTGATTGATTTATTTGCTTAATTTTATCGAAAATATAATTATTTTTTAATAAAAATTAGTTTAAATTAATTGAAAATAATATTTATCTAGTCATGCAACAATACCTTGTCATATATATATATATATATATAGATATAGATACGTCTGTATGTATATATATACACCCAATGAGATCACGAGGATAATGTCCACGTACCCAATACGTGTCATTTGTCATTTATTGACAAATGCATGGTGGCTTGTTGTTCTTATGTCCATTTTCGATTTATGACAAATTAACGCAGACAGTGTTTTGGGACATTGCATTAATAGTGGAGAAAATGCTGATCGCAGTTTTTTTTTACATATATACATAATAATTAAAAATAATATAAGAGTTTGTTATAAGATTTAATTTTATAATTAAAAATAATATAAGTTTCTATAAAATTAAATCATATAAAATCCTCAAAAATCGCATTCAATTTTTATGGTGAATTGTGACTCGTTTGATTAAATATAATCTTAAAATTCAAACCATGATTTATAAAATTACAGTAACAGTAATTTAGAGAATTTATTTTTCAATTTTTAATATTTATTATTATATAATTTATAACTTTTACTATTTTAAAGGTAACTGACACATACATTAATTAATTATTTTATGGCTTGCATGTTTAATACTTCATATATAATTAAATTAATTTTTTTGTTATGTTTAATTAACCACAGATTTTGCAGATTAAAGAATAAGTATAAGAACTCAAATTGATTAATTGAATTAAAAATTAACTTAAGACGAAGATATTTTTTATTTTAATTTTTTTATATTTGTGTTATTCTTATATTTATATTTTATAGAATTTAATTTTAGAAAAAAAAATATTTTATTTAGTGGGAGAATTTAAAACGTAAAATATTAACAGGGAAAAGAAAAAAAAACAAAAAAAAAAAGAGAAAAAGCACACTTATCTTTACCATCCGAAAGAGGTGAGCTGTCAGTTCGTCACTCGCGAAGCGGAAACCAGAGAGGAAGAAGACGCACTCGGCGCACGTTATGAGAATGCCAAGGCGCCGCGTAAAGTAACTAGAATGTAAATGATGAACTCGCGGGTCCACCGGAACGGATTTTTTCATCCGGATCCTTGAAACTTGATTGGGCCACGTTCTTGAGTAGACTTTTCAAGCGCGGTGTATGTTAGCAGGAAGCAAACTCATTTTGGGTTTCTTTTCCGTAATGCTTGCAACTTTCTTCATTAATGTCCGGTTTCTGTGAGAGGAAAGTGTCGGAGAAGCTAAAGACAATTATCCAGCTTTTGGCGCTCAACCAGGTCTGGTATCCCTACGCTTTTTTTCTTTTCTTTTTCCTACTGTTCAATGTTTCATCCAGTTTTCTTGGAAATTTCTCTAAGTCCTCATTGCTTGTTTGTTTCCCAGGAAAATTGCGAATTATCGTTTGTGTACTTGTATCGAAACAGGTAAATTGCGTGCTTTTTTATCTCGAAGTTCTGTGTACTTGATGGGAACGTATTATATAAGTATAGTTTTTGAGTGATCTGGGAAATTAGGCCTTATGGATGGGACAAAATTATGAGACATTTTGCTTAATGGATTTTTAAAACTTGGAATTAGTATTCATTTCCTTGTTCCTCATGAGTAGATCACTAGTTAGATTGTTGGGAATTGAAAAGGAAATCAGACTGGGACTGGTTGCTCGCTTGGATTGGTTAAGCGTTAAGGCCAATTTCTCTTTGCTTCCGTCTGTTGCTTCGTTAATTTATTTGTTTGCTTCTTTTTTTGGTGCGAATAAGCATTCGCAAACTGTAAAATTTGTTGCAGAAATTAGAAGTCCAGAACTTTTTTTTTTTAAAAAAATGAAAAGTCTGAATCATATAGTTCTGAGTAATTTAATGTTATTAGTCAATGGATTCTGTGCCTTGAAGGATTGTACTAACATTATGGGAGGTGCCGATATTGTATTGTGGTTTGAACCCTCTCTTATCTCTCCCATTTTTCTTTGAAGCCAAATCCCTTGGCACCAGAGGCAAAGCAAGTTTGAACTACGTTATGATATTGAGATTATCATAGTGTCAACACCTTTCCAAGCATGGTTTATTCTGCTTCACTACAACTTTCTCGTGAATTCAAAGTCCGCAATCAATATAGATACAGTGAGCAATATATTGTATGTAGATTTGCAATTTTTTGAAGAGACCAAATTTTTTTCTTCGAATTTCCGAATGATTATTGTTTTCATGTTTCACTTTTCCTGTGTGTCTCCTTTCTTTTGCAGAATGCAGCTGGAAAAAGTCGGTATCATTTTGTCAAGATCAATCTCTCATCACATGCTATGGTACTTTTCTGGATGTACATAAATCTGTCATGAAAGATTTTGGAAACTGCTTCCTTGTCTGGAGTTTCTTGCATGTAAATTTGTCAGTGTTTATGTTCATCATCTTAGTTTAATCATTATCCAGGTATAGCTTGGATGTAAATTAAACACTATTTCTTGGAATTACTTCTTGTCATAAAATGTCAATGTTGGAAGCTTTACCTCAAACCCCCCAAATGTTGAGTAAAGATTTCAGCTGTTAATGCTTTTAGTACAGCACGTGCTTTTTGTGGATCTGCTTGTGTATAGAAAGAATATTGATGGAAGTGCTGATTATTTTTTCCAATTATGTGGTCACCTTTTAAGTTTTCTTTGATCATCATATGGCTTTCAAACAGTGTGAAATTTTATTTTTATTTTCCAGCGACAGGATGATGGGAGCATCCACCTTTTTAACTGCATACGTGGGCCAATAGTTCCTGTATCTGCCAGGTGCAATGTTTTTCTTTGTCGATCTATTCTAGCACCAGGTGGAGGAAATGAAATTCCTATTGTTAGATCTGCTGCAATGCTTTTTTCAAGGTATTCTTTTATATTATAGATATATCTATCTATATGTTTGTATTTCTGGGATACAGAAATGCAACAGAACTAGTGAACTACAACAGTTGCATATGTGTATGCATAGTATTGAAAAAAATTACAATCGCCTTCAGTTTGAAGTGGAATTTGATAGCAAGTCGCAATCTATTGCAATTTTAGTTAATGGCAAATAATATTTTCTTTTCCTCACTGTTGAGTTTATAATCTCTTTTAAATTTTCTTGGTGACTTTCCAGGTCTTATGATGCTTTTCGTGGAAGTCCTCTTGTACTTAGATTGATCCCAGCAGTTGGTATTCTTCTGTTTGCTACATGGGGTGTTGGGCCGCTCATTCGTCTTGGGCGTATTTTCTTCCTTAATGTATTAACTCTCTTATTTTGTTTCACCAGTGGCTGAATCTCTTATTTCAATTATTTATTTCTGCAATATTTTCTTTTCCAGAGGACTGATGTTAATTGGAAGAAAAGTAGGACACATTATGTTATGACCTCATATCTTCAACCCTTGCTGCTATGGGTTGGTGCAATACTTGTCTGCAGGTATACATATGCATTGCTAAGAATTTGAGTTAAATGATTCTTGTTTCTAATCCTTTCATTTTGTGTTTCAGAGCTGTAGACCCAGTCGTATTGCCTTCCGAAGCCAGCCAAGTTGTTAAGCAACGACTTTTGAATTTTATACAGTCATTATCAACAGTGCTGGCATTTGCATATTGTTTGTCAAGGTGAGTGCTGTTTTTTTTCCTTATTTGTTTGTCAAATTTGCATTTTCTTCATCCCTCCTTCTCCAGGGAAAAAAAAGTTATATGTTGTATTCATTTTCAGCTGTCAAACATAAAGAATTATTCAAATAGCTTTTCCAATGACCTACATATGGGAACTCGATCAGCTAGTTGGCCAAAATAAATGGTTTGCAATTTAGATTCTCTAGCCTAGTGGTTTACATATGTTGTTTGAGTATGCAAATTGAATCATAAAAGTACCCATGCTTTACGGTTCAAATTAAAACAAAAATTAAAGGAAGAATATTCCTTCTGTTTCTTTGGGTGGAAATGTTATAGATCCTTCTCCCGCTGGCTATTTTTTTTCCTTGAATTTTGGGTGAAAAGATATAGTTTTTTTACTTGTTGGTATAAGCTTATATTGTTTTTTTTGGTCTGTTGCCACCTCTAAATGCTAATTTCAATTTTCATTCTTATATACTTCCTTGAATTTTGGGTAAAAATATATAGTTTTTTTACTTCTTGGTATAAGCTTATATTGTTTTTTGGTCTGTTGCCACCTCAAAATGCGAATTTCAATTTTTTTTCTAATGTATTCATGGTGTCTCCCTAATACCATGTGGATCATTCTGAAGGAAATAATTTTAGGGCTTAGCTTCTCCCTTCAGTAGAACTAAGGATTATTGGTTCTAGACCTTATGTTTTTTGATTAAGGGTTATCCTCATTTTTCTATCGAAAATTTGTGAGACCTTGTCGGTATTTTGATTTATTTATAAAGCTTTTTATATAGGTGACACTCCCTTGGATTCCTGTTTATTTATATTTATCTTTTTTCTTTTCAACCAAAAAAGGAAAAATTACAGAAATGCTGCTTTTATAAAATACACAAATACCTTTACACTTTTAAAATTAAACGTAAAACTCCCCAAGTTTGAAACTATTATAGAGAAACCCCTTACCATTTGATCAGTTACCTTTTGCATCCCTTTCAATTTTCTACATCAGCACTCTTACCTTCAAACCTAAAATACTTTATCCATCTAACTTTTTTATTTCCTTTCGTTTTCCTTCTTCTTTCTTATTTTTTTATTCTTCCTTTTCTATATTCACATACCACTACTCAATTTTCTTTTTCTCTTCTTTTCCCCTTAACTTTATTTTTCCTTTCTCCATTCACTAACCATAAGTCCAATCTATTTTTCCCTTTCCTTTTCCTTTTCTGCTTTTTTTCCTAATTTTTTTACTCTATTTAGTTATTAGTGACCCCACCATTTTTTTCTTCTTCGTCTTTTTTTCTTTTGTTCCATTTTTCTTTTTTCCTTCCTTTCCTCTATTCACCTAAAATCTAATTTATGCCCAAACTGAAAACTGAAAACAAAAGAAAAAGAAGACGGATGAAAGAGGTGGATATAGAAAATGGAAGAAAATGGAAGGAAAAAGAAAGAGAAAGATGAAAAAGAGGATGGGGTTTACTGATCCTTGAATAGAGAAAGAAATTATAAAGGAAAAGAAAAAGAAAGAAATGAAGAGGAAAGGGAAACAAAACAAAAAGAATAAGGGAAAAATGGAGGGATTTTCTGGGTAGTAAATGAAGAAGAAAAAATGAAAAAAGGAGAAATGAAGAAGAAAAAAAAATCGAGATACTTGTTACTGAATAAAGAGAAGGAAAAATAAAAAAATAAGAATGAAGAATGAAAATGAAATGAAAATAAAAAAAAAATGGAAAAGGGTATTTAGGATTTAAAATGGATGAAAAAAATAAGATGTAATAGTTGGGGGGTACAGTACAGTAGTTTGGAAATTCGGCAGTTTTATGTTCAGTTTTAAGAATAAAGTGGTTTTTGTCTATTTCATAATAACTCTAGGGGGTTTCTCTAATTTGTCCGGAAAAGAAGTGTTGATGATATCTTGTTTTTCAGTAATTCTAGACTTTATTCTGAATGCTTGATCTGGTAGGGGGCCTTGGATTGTGACTTTAAACTTGCTATATGTTCTCCTTTGCAGCTTGATTCAACAGGCTCAAAAATCCTTTATGGAGACAAATACATCGAGTGAGGCAAGAAGTGTATGTTTCTGTTCCTACAATATTATGGATATTTAACAATATCCTGTTTTTGCATTTTCAGCACTGAAGATCTGAGTATCAATGTCCATAGACTTGTCTGGGTTTAAGTTTATTTCACTAAGCAATTTGGTTTTGGGATCTTGTGTGACCAAGTCTTGGTCACTGGTTTTGTAATGGAATCTGCTTTGTTTATTTATTATTTATTTTCTATTGTGAATTAATCTTCATTTCTTGAACTTCTACCACTACTTGGAACACCGGTTTACAGCTTTCACGTGAGAGATAGTAGCATGAACTCGGAAACTTCACCAGTTTCTAGATAGATGCATTCTACACTGACACTTGAACAAATAGTACCATGATCTTCTAATACCGTGACCTCATTTCAAAACATTAGGATGGAATAACAATTTCAAGCAGTAGTCAAGTTTGGCACCTATTTAGAGTCAAAGATAGACTCGTTACCTTGTCTGTTAGGTGTTATGACTGGTTAATTTTGTGCCTGGCAGCAGCTGTCTAATTCAAGTTTTTGTCAAGAGTGGCATTATCTTCATGGTTCAGACCAATAATTTTTTCAATATTTTGCTCCCATAATAATGCATCTTGTTCTCAGTTTCTCTTTACCTATGATTCTCCTCTTTTTCTGCTTTATGAAGCCTGCTACTTATCTTTCTAGTATGACATTGTAATGCTGTCCAAGTCTTAGGTGATGACAAGCTGTTTTAATCATATAATCTTGGATGGTTCAACACTTTTAATTCCATTTCTAATTGGCTTATTTATTCAAAGATTTTCTGAAGGCAGTCAACAAGCCAAATTGAATGAATCTACCTTTATTGCCTCCACAAATGCAGTTTATTGTATGTTTTGAATATTATAGGGAACAATCACATATTTTCATTATTTCTTGCTCACTTCCCCAAGTTAGTATTAACCAAGGTGCTTTGAGGGTGCAAAGTGCTACTAATAATTCTTTTTTCACTATATTGTTGATTGCTTGCAGATGGGTTTTGCTTATGCGGGAAAAGCTGTTTACAGTGCTGTTTGGGTTGCTGCCATATCATTGTTCATGGAGTTGCTGGGGTTCTCTACCCAGAAATGGCTGACTGCTGGAGGTCTTGGCACAGTGTTGCTCACCCTTGCTGGTCGTGAGGTGAAACCCATTTTACTTTTTTATATTATTAATCAAAAGCCTGCTCTCTTCTTGTCTATGGAAGATCTTTGATCATTCTTGCCTGTAGACATTATCAAAGAGCCAGAGCAGTTTCTTAGACCTTTGGTTGATGAAATTTTATGACTTTTTATTTCCTTTTTTGTCGGATACGTGCAGATATTAACAAATTTTCTTTCGAGTGTGATGATCCATGCAACACGGCCATTTGTTGTGCACGAATGGATTCAGACCAAGATTGAAGGCTATGAAGTTTCTGGTACAGTTGAGGTTTGTATTTTCCTCTTCTTATTATCTGAGTCGAAGGGCACATATAGGTTAGAAATGTGAGCAAGATTGAACAGATTGTTCCTGCCAAATGCACCCAAAAAATATCTGGATGATAGTGTTAAATATAAAAAGGTTGTTTACTTTATATCAGTATTATTTCAGCATGTGGGTTGGTGGTCACCAACAATTATAAGAGGCGATGATCGCGAAGCAGTTCATATTCCAAACCATCAATTTACTGTAAATGTTGTGAGGAATCTTAGCCAAAAGACCCATTGGCGTATCAAGACCTATCTTGCTATCAGTCACTTGGATGTCAATAAAATCAATGTAAGAAGTTTATCTGGTTTATTTGGCATCTAGCTCCTGAATTCAGGAATCTATCTGGCTCTTTTATGTCACGTCAGAACTAGGATCACCCCTTTTTATGGACAGAATATCGTGGCTGATATGCGCAAGGTTTTGGCAAAAAATCCTCAAGTTGAGCATAAAAAATTGCACAGGAGAGTTTTTCTAGAAGATATAGGTCCAGAAAACCAAGGTCTCAGGGTAAGATCTTTTTTTCTTTTTTTACAAAGTCAGGGTAAAGATCATTTTGGTTCTTAAGGATGTCCTGGTGCAACATGTTTATATTACGATTCACATTCTATCTTCTGTCAGCATTATTTATTTTCCCTGGAAGAAAATATTTGTGCATATATTTTTGCATTCATGTTGCTTAAGTGCATTATGTCTTGCTCCAGTTAGTACTTCGATTGGTCATCTGAACCCAATTTTGATTTTTTGGACTTTTCTTTTTTAATCCCAACTTTATATTTAAACAGAGAAGATCTCTGGTAGACTTTTAACCTGAATTTTTGTTCTTTTTTGGTCTTTTTAAGTGATTACTGCTTCTGTCTCAAATTTCAATTATATTTGGTGGCCCATGTTGCAGATTCTGGTATCCTGCTTTGTAAAGACCTCACATTTTGAAGAATACCTCTGTGTTAAGGTAAGGTTATCTACAAGTAGATTCTCATCCCCAGTTATTCTCTATAAGGCCATTATATTGTTTATTTTTTTCCCTTTGTATCTACTTATTCCCACGTGCATCTTTGTCATTATATCTATGCTCTGGAAACTATTTGTTGGATTAGCTGTTGTTCTAGATCAGTGCATTTGCTTATGCCATAACTTCAGTCTTCCTCGGGCATGCTATATAATTGACTCTGGATCATGGTCTGCATGTATAAAAAGCTTCAACAGCAGTGATATATGCTGAAAGTAAGTTGATGAAAATGATTTAGATCATAAAATCAACTTGTAATAGTCATCATTGTTTTGAACAGGAAGCAATACTTCTGGATCTTTTTAGGGTAATCAGCCATCACCGAGCCCGACTTGCCACTCCAATCCGCACAGTGCAGAAAATGCACCGTGAGGCTGACTTGGAAAATGTACCCTTTGCTGATATTTTCACTCAAGCATCTACTTACAGTCCAATGATCCTAATCGAGACCTCTTATAAAATCAAGGACGACGAAAAAGTTAAATCTTCTACTCATTCCCTGCAAACAAATGAAGAAAAAGACTTGAAAGATGAAGCACCTTCAACATCTGACCCCAAGGCAGATGTAGAGTCTGATTTAGCATCGACTCTTGATTCCAAAAGAGAAAAGGTCAGATCAGCTTCAAGCTTGAAGGTTGCAGTGCCGACATCTGATTTTCCAAGTGGGGATTTGGTGCTGGAGAATTCACGCCAAACCATCTCCGAAGAGCTGAGAAATGAAAGCACGGGAGGGGGAGGGACAGAAGACGAGAAAAGTGGATTGAATTCAGATGATTCCTTTACAACATGGAATGCATCAGAAATGTCAGAATCTGGCAGTGGAAAAAGTGATAACTTTTCAGCTGGCATACCGGAAAAGCAAGATACAGAGAGGCAGATTTCATCAGCATCTGTGTTCAGACCTCCGCTAGATGACAACATAGTTCTTGGTGTTGCGCTGGAAGGCTCAAAACTGACTCTTCCAATCGAGGAAATATCTGTGCCGTCCGGACAGGATGAGACAAAGGAATTAGCTGCTCACTGGAATGGGAATTGTTCTCCTAACCTCGGCAAGGACAAGAGAGATGGTACCAGCCAAAATGATTAGGTTGGGTACATGATAACAACGATTAAAATTGTAACATTATCAAATCGAAGTATGCTGAAATTGCATGCAGCTGCCTTTTTTAAGCTGGAGTCATGCAGTATATATATATGTATATCATTGGGGTGAAGAACTGTAAATACTTGTTAACCAAAACATTTGTAGATGCATTGATTACTGCTCTCCAGTGATTAATGATTAATTTTAAATTATGGAGTTTGTTAAAGAATATTATCTTTGTCCTGGATATATTTTTCTTTCTTTCTGAATTAATTTTAATAAAAGTTAAAAATACTGTCTCAATTTTAACTAAAACAATGTAGCCTTCAATTTTTAACAATGTTGTGAAGAATTACTACTCTTTTAAAATAAAGGCAAATTTTTTAATGATTTCTTTAAATAACTTTTACTTGTCCCAAACACGCCCTTATTCATGTCTCTGTGGATAAGCAGATAATTCTGATTACCAAACTTGCTCAAAAAGAGGGAGAAAATATTAAAATGGTCCCCTCTATAGTTACTGCCATTTGAATTTTATTTACCATTGCGTTAATTAATATCTTAATATGTCAACTTCACATGCTGTAGTAAAAAACAGATTCATATCGTAAAATAGAATCTACATTAGCTCAACAACAATCACGTTTGAAAATGGTTAATTACAGCTTTATGAATTACCATGTCTGAGTTCATTTTAAGCTTCACACATGCAATCGGGAGCAGGATATGTATATATGGATTGCTTCTCCTTTCGCAACCTGATCTGTCCCTGTCTATTTTTATGCCCATTGATGACTCGATGCTGAAACTCTGACCACCCCATGCTCTTGTTCAGGAAGATATGACCCAACAGCACCATGTTTGGTCTTATGGTCTTCAGATTCAAGTAAGCTCGATGTGCTAACTGTTGACAGATGAAAAAAAAAGGTCCTGAGATGATTTGAATTGTTCTTATTCTAAGTACCCAAAACATATTCTAGAATGGATTATCACATTTTGTTGTTGAGAACTAAATTCATAACCTATATTTTCTCCCAATTTATATAGATGACTCATCACTCATGGTTTATGAATTGTACAAAATGACCAACTAAAAAGCTCATAAAAACTATTTTATATATAGATGGCACTCTTTTTGGGATTAATAGTTTCTCACTCTAAAAATTAGTCATGATATGATGGTTTTATTGAACTGTACCGTGCTCTTTAAGAAACTTCCTTACCAGAGCATTATGCATGTTTCCTGGGGAAGCTGAGATGAAGATATCACTCTGCATGCTCACATAATAATCAACGGCTGCCAACAAAGAAGCCCTGCCTTCAACCTTGGCCAAATCCTCTTCAGAGGCAAGACTTTTCTTGTCTTCCATTAGGGGAAATAGTTTACGCAAAGTTGAAATCCTCGCCTCTCCACCGTAAACCTGCCAAAAAATATGGACTCCTGAATGTCAGACTCCCTGTGTGAAATCAAAGGTTTGTTTGTCACTGAGAAGAAATGCCAAAAACCATGTGAATCTCAAGCATTTAGAGCTCTTAATAGTTCAGAACATTTATTTCTGGGAGTAGAGGAAAACAAACCTTGTGTGAAGCAAGATATAATCTTGTATTATTGTCGAAGCCTAAAGCTGCAAGGAGCAAACCAATTTCCTCCGGAGTTAAAGGACAACGTCCTTGATTTCTTAACTCCTCGTCAGTGAACTGAGAATTTAAGACTCTTCCTTGCCAAATTGTTTGGCGGTACTTTGCTAAAGCCAGTTTTTCGGCTTTACCCCCACCAAAATTGCAGGCTGAGTGAGCAGCCATATCCTAAATGAGTAAAGTTCGATAGGAGAAGATAGAAGTCAACCCATAAGGAAAAAAAAAGTAGCACTTATGAAACCCCAAGTGATAGTCTCACTGACTTCAATGCCTATTTCCAGATAACAAACTGACAACATACATCTTTTCCATTCACATGAAGTATGAATTTGCAAAATATTAAACTGAAAAGGCTATATAATGATAGTAATTCATCTGGACACAAAAGATTAATAAGTAATGAAGAAACTGAGGTTCATACTTTGTCAAAGCGAAGATGTAGAACAACAAACTGTTCAGCACCCACTCGTTCTGAGGCATGCCTTTCTTCCTGCAGGGACCCAGCTCCTGAATTCTGAAAGTTTGCAGGAGGATGGCGGAGGCGATGAACTAGGGTCTCCCCTAATGTCCTTATATGAGGAACAAACACTAGTGCTTCAAAATTGACCTTGCAACGTAATCGCTGGATATTCACAGGCAAGTTATCAAAAGCCAAACGGTGTGAGAATGGGGCAACTGCTGCAATCCCATAACTACAATCACAACAAAGAATTTATAGAGATAGATCAGTCCACTTGTGGACCAAAGGAGAAATAATTGATGAAAGGGAATCCTAGACACTACTAACTTACTACAGACCAAGGAAAATCTTTGATAAAATAAATTTATGGAGACTGCTCCACATGTATAAAGTAAGAATCTAAGCTGCATTCAACTGAAACTTCTAAGAACCAATTATATAATGCATTAGTGGCCCAAATTTTTATTGTCAGAAAATGCCATCAAAAACTCCAAATTATAACACCACAAATTCAGCCTTCACTTGGGAAATGGTGAAAAAATTATGATAAGGATAGTTTCCCCAGTAATGGTAAGAGTCATGTAGTATTTATTATACTTTATATTCCTCTAGGGATGACATGATAACGGTAGAAAACAGAGATCAAGCATAAGCACTTTACACTAGTTATTGGAATAAGAACTAAGAAAAAACTGAATGATTCAGAAAAGCCAAATATGCTGAAAAGCTTTAAATATGAAAACCAAAGGAGCATCATAAATTAATTTCTCATAAAACTATTGATCTTGAGAACAACTAACCTCTGCATTATAGGCAATACATTTTCCAGATACCAGTTGGCGGAAGCATGGAGTGGTGCTGTTTTAATTCTAGTAGCTCGAATACCTGTAGCATAATACTCCCTTGTACTCCAAGAGTATTGAAGAGGCAACTCTTTTACCACATGCACATCGTTATGAAGGACACTAATGAAGTGATCTACATCAAAAATATCTGTGAATGAACTGTAGAAAATATGCATGTCAATTTCCATAATGGCTTCATCTTGGACCGCAAAAGTTGATGATATAAGTATAGGTCGTAAGATAGGTTACTCTTGTAAATACCTAAAATCTTGCCAAACAGGATTTACTTCAAGGTGTGGAATCACCAACGTTGCATTCAATACCTTAGCAACAGCAACTGCATCACATATCTATGTAATAAAAATCAGAAAACATTGAAACGCCACTCTACATGAACAAAAGTGGAAAACGACTAAATTAAATAATATTTTGACCACATGGATATGCTTGCTTTTTGTGATTGCCTTTCATTTGATATTGCTCACCCCCATTCTTTGTTGGTTTAAACCCCCATCAAGGAACACCTGGAGATACCTTTGAGACTTCTCTGGCAGTGCTGCAAGAAGATAATTTAAGTTCATTAGATACAACAACTGAAGAAAATCTGACCAAGGTGAAGATCTCATGGCCTATTTCCTAATGTCAATAGAATGAACCCGTGAAAAGAACAACTCTTTGCTGGCTGCAGCTTCAAACACTTACAAGGGAAGCTGGGAGATTCCACGCAAGGTTTCCATCCTTGGTTGGCCAAGGGAGACCACAGCTCCGACTGCTGTTTGATAGACTGGAAAAAAATGTGAAAAATGAGAGAAAAACTTAAATGCCTAAGTCTTTGAAGAAATTAAACCAAGTTGATAAAACCCACTTACAGATTCACGGTTAAGAGCCCCTTTTAATAGAGACAGATGTCTAGGTTTTGGAGCATTCCATTCCTACAAGGCTACAGTTCCTTTAGCATTTCTATAGACTAACAGAAAGTTGCAAAAAATATCACAAATTACATAGTTATCTGCAAGAAAACAGTGAGGGAGAAATCCATTCTAGAATTGATCATAAAATTTTCAACTTCTATATGCCAGAATAAACGTTAAAGAACACCCAAAAAACATTTGAAAAATGTATACATTAGAAAATAACAAGGCTTCTAATTGCATTGCAGTCAATACTACACTACCAGTTAACCCTCTGTCATATAAAACCAACACTCAAGCTACACATACATAACAAAACTAAAAAGAGGAACAATCAAACAAAGTATCCTTTGATGAGATCTTTCAATCAACTAGGTTATATTCCCTAATGATATTCAAACAATTAAGTGGTGATTAACTGAAGTAAAAGAAAAACTTGTGATTCGTACACATTACACTGAGATTCATTGAAATGGTGTATGGGAACTGGTAATCAGTGCCTACTCAGCTTAATCATAAGTCTAAAATCAAATCATAAAACAATAGAAGGGGGAAAATGCCAATAACAACAAAGACGCACAGAGAACAGAGAAGGTGAGGCGCGACTCAATGGGCCAAATAGATTAGGCATGAAAATCGGTAAGAGAATCATGAAAAGTCCTGCAAGAGCCATTCTCTGCGATTGATGTTGATGATTATGTGAATTGTACAAGTTCATCGTTTCAAACGGAAAAAGGAAAAGAAAAAAAAAAGAAACTGGAGACAGATCCTAATTGTGCAAAAGTTTTAACTTTTTAAGTGAGGGAAAATGGCGTCTTTGGAGGGATCGTAAAATGGAGTAGATCTGCCATTAACAGAGGAAAGTTTTACTTAGCCGGCTTATATTGATAAATCAAAGAACTGGAGACAGGATTCAATAAAGTACGTTAAATCCAACGGTTTTAGAATAACGCTTCTATACAAGTCAGATGCTTGTTGTTGTTTTTTTTTTAAATAAATATATTTGATATTATATACATACACCAAAGGTAATATAATAAAAATAATATTTAATCACTTGCTACAAAGTTTAAATTAACTTAATTTATGTAACACCCCAAAAATTTATTATTATTTTTATGAATATTAATTTGTTTCGTTTTAATTTTTTTTATAAATTTATATAAATTAAATAATTATTTATTTAATAATATATAATTTTAATTTAGTTTAATTTAATTAATTAAAAATAAAAATAAAAATAATGATAAAAATAGGTAAAATTATTTTTGAGATTTAATTGAAAACAATTTTCGGAAAGAGGGATAAAAATTCAGATTTTGAGAGTATTTTTGAAAAAAAATCGAAAACCAGGGGTCAAAATATAATTTAGAAAAATTGTGCTACGTCAGCAGCCCCGTCAGTAGCCCGGTCAGCAGTCCCGGCCAACCAGGACACACCGCGTGGCAGAAATGCTGACGCAGGAGGCCACGCGGAACGGGGCCACGTGGGCGATCCGCGTGCACGCGATCGGACGGCTGAGATCTGTTCCTGCGCGCACGGACAGTTCAGATCAAAAGCGCGTGCGGACGGCCCAGATTGCACGCGTACGGACGACCCAGATTGAATCACGCACGAACGATCCAGATCGCATCGCGATGGACGGTCCATATTAAATTGTGATGGACGGCTCAGATTGAAAGCGGAATGTTATAAATAATCTCATCCACACCCAAACTCAAACCCTAACTGCCAGAGCCCTCGCCGGAGAAGACAGCCCAGCCACCGAAGGAACTGACCGCCACCACCCGTCGCCGCACCGGAGCACTTTTCGACTGCCAAACGAGGTAAAAATTTTTCCTTTGGCTCGGATTTTGATTCTAAACCCACCTGTGGCCAAATTGGAGCCAAATCACTGGCCAATTGGCCGGAAAATGCCGCCGCGGGTTTCTTCGATTTTTGCCTCCAATGAGGCCATTTTCGATTTCCGTTCGATGTTATTTTTCTACCACTGTGACCATCGTCCTTTCCTCTACAGGTTGACCGGAGCAAAACACCAAATCGCGACTCGAGCCGGAGGAGCTGCCGCACCCGAGAGCTCCGCCGCAGGTAAGTCTCGGTTTTTTGTATTTTTTTTTTTGCCCACCGAGGGCCCTACGTGTGTTTTATCACAGGAACCAATGCAAGTTTGGCCGAATTCGGCCGGAAACGGCCAACCCGAGGCGGATCACCGCCGTGCCAGAATTTCGAAATTGGCCGAACAGGCCCTGGGTCTGATTTTGAATTATTTGTGGACACGTGTAGGTACCAGAAGTGTGTTTTAGTTCCCGAAAAAAAATTCAAGAAATCTAGGAACAGCCCGTAGGCGCAGTAAAAAAACCAGTCTTAGACTCCAAATCAAGTAAGGATCTCTCACCCCATTTTCTATCACGGCATTAAAGTTTAATAAATGATAAAACGGTATTTTATAAATTAATAGATATGTATAATTAAATTAAGTTGCTAATGGAGCCTGAATCTAATATATTTTTCGGTCAGTTCCTGTTTGATTTATTTTACAAGTTTAATGCAGTATAATATCTGATTTGTTTATTCTGTGGCTTCATATGTATGAATCACTGTTTAATTCGTTATGGTTTGATTATTGTGAACCCGATGTAATGTTTGCCTTGTCTGGTGTTCGTTACTGGTTTACGTATTCATGTTTGATTAGGTAATGAGACTACGAACAAATAGGAATGTGATTGAGTTGATAAATGGATTGATCCTTCCCTCCCCCGTCCATCAGGAGATCCGGATGCGTTCACCCTGCACCACTCCTTCTCGTTCTAATATCAATTCAACCACCCGGGGTATTCACTCATAAATATGTATAAACCAGCACCGCACGTTCCAGTCACGGACCCGGAAACGACCCATCTGAAAAAAAATTCCCGGACGGGAGGAACCCCCATGGTTCTGGTAGGCTGATAAAAGAGGAAATTTGTTGTCTGATGATTGAAATATAAAAATATGAAATATAAAAATTGTTTTCATGAATCTCACCGAGATAAGTGGACAGTAAAGGATTTTATTATTGATAAATGAATTTGTTATAAATTATGCTTCATTGGTCGTTTTTATTTTCTACCAACCTTTAATTATGTGACAGTGAAATAGATATATTTACTGGACTAGTGTAACTCATCCCTTACTTAACTATTTCAAATCAGGAGGGCTTGGTTCCCAAGCCCGTTCCGCAGGAAGACGACGAGTAGATGCCTAAAGATTTTATAGTTTTCCTTATAGTATTTATTTATACTATTTACTTTAGTTAGCTTATTCTTTCATACGGTTAATACGTTTTGGTTATTGTGTAATGGATGTTAACCATAATCTATTTTATTTCGCTTCCGCACTTAGAAATTTTATATACATTTCCTTTAAATTTCCGGCGTCGTTACAATTTATATATTTCATACATATATAAATGTAAGTATAACCTATACTAAGTGAATATATATATATATATATATATATATTTAATTTTGCAGTAAACACTAAATGATAACAGAGACTATAAAATTTTTTTCTCAATTTTCAAAGTCGTTAACAGAGACTATAAAATTTTCTTAATCCATAACCAACTCCTTTTTTTAAATTGATAATACAAAATAAAAATAATTTCAATCAATTTCATTTGTTAAGATTATTAAGAATTGAGTCGAATCTATCAAAAATTATCTCATCAATCATCTCCAACTCCAAATCGATGCCTGCAACTATTTCAATACCAATATTTTCTTAGACACTTATACCATGTTTGAATAAATTTTAGTGATAGTTAATTAATGTATGGTAATGACAGCGATTAGATGTCAATAACATAATATGAGAATGACAAAATTTTTTTATATTTGAAATAATTATATATTAATGTATGTTAATGATATATTTTTGTTTAGATGATAGGATGATATGATTATATTTTCAGTTAAATTACTAATTATTCTCTACTTATTTATGTAATAGTAAGTAGTATATAAGAAATATATAATAAAAAAAATAAATTATTTATCAATATAATTATATTTATATTCAAATAAATAATTATTACAAATTAAATTTTTACATTTAATAAAATAAATAAGAAATTGTGATGATAAAAATAAAATTAAGTATATTATATGAAGGATATAAAAGAAAAAAAGTAACATGACGTTCACATGCCACTGATCCGGTGATTTTAAAATTCATCCAAAATTTACCAATAAGATATTGTTTGTTATCATTCGAAGTTGAAATAAACATAATTTTTTTACATTCGTGGAATACCATACATTAAAATTTTATCATTTACTACGATTCAAACAGAATGTTAAAAATCAATTTGGAGAGCAATATTTCAAAGTTGACTTAATATAAATTTTGTTGAGCCTTTTCTATTCGTGTTTATACAATGTGATCTCACAATTATATAAAATATGAAGTTTTATCAAAACATTACCATAATGTCAATAACTTGCTGTGGAAATGTAAAATCACAATGTATAAACACGTGGTAAAAAGATTTAACGGAGTTTCTGAAATTTTTATTTCATTTCTGAGATTTTCCCCAAAACTTGAAACGGTCATTTTTCACTTTTGCTGTTTTTAAGTGCACGCACACATTATTAATTAATTTACATAATTGACAAACATATACATTTATATATCTATATAATAGGAAACTGTTCACGTATAATATATATGTATATACAGATCATATCCGCGCATATACACATTATTAATTGCGGGTGAATAAATATACATATTTATTGGGTATGCACGCACATGTATGACTGCTTTTATCTCTAATCAAACCAGTACATTCCACAAGAAACTCCATCGGGCCTTCATCCAATGTTGTGCAAAACAAGTTTTATACGCAAAGAAAAAAGCATCATCAATTTTCATTGCATTTGTATGATGATCGATCAAATGAACAGAAAAAATTTCATGCATGACTGACCCAAACATGAAATCTTTGCACAACATTGCGATATAAAAAGTGTTTCAAATCATTATTGCGATATGAAAACAAACATGAAATGACGGTCATACGCCAATCTTTTAACTTTCTTCGGAGAAAAAAACAGATGACTGATCATCACTCTGCCCAAAACCCACAAAAAAGATTCAATCAATCATTCAAGAAAACCATTCTCGCAAGTTTCATTCAATATTCAATCAAAGGGGCCCGATTGATCCAAAAAATCACCATTAATCTTGCAATATTTTTCTTCGGAAACCCTAAAGATGGTAGGAAGAGATTGAAAATCATCCATAGAATACCCAACAAACAGGACAAATGCGAAAGGCCCGGGACCTCCTATTCAAGCGCACCTGGTGAAACCAATGCAGGCATTGCAGCAGAGTAAAAGCGTCGTTGTCTGCAATCACTCTGCTGCAAATAAAACATAATCTGCTAAACCCAAGAGGTAAATGAATCGGATCAAGCTCATTTTGTCTCCTCCACCAGGACAACGCATCAAGCCCCGGCTACGAGTTAGACGCCGCACCCAAATTTCCTGCACGGAACCTAGCGGGATTCCACAGAGACCACATCGAAGCATCATGTTCATCAGGATAGTCGTAAATTCTCGCCACAGCGCAATATATCCTCACCACCACAATATTTGCATACTATGGCAGTCGCTGAAACTGTAATATCATATTGCGTACATACGTCATGAAAACATTGAACAGAGTTAGCTTTGAATCAACGGGGAAGAACCGTCCTCCCAGCTGATCCTCGAGTGCCAAGTAAATGCTATCGGCGGTCTGGAAGTGGCCGAAGGCGTCGGTCTGGAGTAGAAGACCGTTGATGAGATGGATTTCAAAGAATTGCTCTCTTTCTAGACAATCTTGAAGAATGACGCTGAATGGGAGTGATTCTAAT